AAAAAAAAAAAAAAAAAAAAAAAACGGAGCAATTTTTAGTGATTTTTGATAGACTAAGCCAGCAATAAAAGGAACATGAAATAGGGTTTACGCAGGATGTCACCGTGGGAATCGCGCCCTGCAGCTTAGTGAACTGTGCTCTTTTACTTTTATATTCTCACACTGATCCGACTGATAAAAGAACTATATGCAGAGAGCAATTGAAGCAAGTCCAGGGCTTGACATTAAGGGTTGCGTTGTTGCATTTTGCAACCTCTTATTCCTCTCAGGCAACCAAATCTTGACCAGCAGTCGTCCGACAATGTAACTGATTCCATTTTGAATATTTTTCGTTTATTGTATGTTTAACAGTGTGTTTTCTGGCATTGGCTCCTCTTGGTTAAAGTGTTGTTTGGATTGATTATGAGATCGCAATAAAATATTTACATATATTACGTTTTCTGTTAAACCTCTTTTTGTAAAAAAGACAGTGAACCTTTATTTAGAATTCTTTTTGAATCTGAAGTATCAGTTAGAAAATAAAAAGTATTTCATTGCATGGTTGGTAGCCCCCCCCCCCCTCCCCGACCGAGCCTGGTTCGGGTTCAGTCACAACCAATTGAAAAAAAATTATGTCGAGTCCTGAAGTCCAACCCATACCAACAATACACTTAAAGCTCCTTTTGTTTTTCAGTAGCTGATGTAGCAGTGCATCTGTAGTTAATATACATGTGTAAACCTCGTTAAAATATATTTACGTTGCTGTTCATTTGTGTTTTTCTTTTTAAACGCGGGTAATGTGTATTTGAGCAACACGATTAAAGACGGACGCGGAGTGGGGATTTGATTAGTCGAAACGATGGAGAGTGTGCTCGTAATTGGCAATCGGTGACTTAACAATACAGAGAAATTGCTTCCAGGAAATCTGCTGAATTTAAGACCACTTCACATCGACAGTTATTTCTTAGCGGTGCAGCTGCACCGTGTTTTGCGAGGCACTGCAGTGTATCGGACCAAATTTGTGGTCTAAAAAATAAACACCCATTTCCGGGCTAATACTCTGCTGTAAAACTGGCCCCAACTGAATTAAGGCTGTGTTCAGATTAAAAGTTATCTGTCCAGCAGGCTCGATCTATCTCTGTGGGGATTGTAGTTTAAGTGCACTCGCTGTAATCAGCTGAATTGACTGGCCCGCCCCCTCAGGAAGCTGCGAAAGATAACCCCTAGTATGTGGAATGGGCGGGCCAGACAATTAAAATGATTAATCAGAGATAGATCGATCTTGCCGGACCGATAACTTTTAATCTGAACACAGCCTCATATAATGAATAGAATGATGCCTCCAGTCACTTTCTGTGCATGGTATTCAGTGTGATCTATATAACGCCAGTGGTTAGGTTCTTATAGCAATTTGTTATTTCTAGGCGCCATTGCTAAGCACGGGAGGCGATAGCCGCGTGCCAGAGCGCAAGGGTCGTGTCCTTAACTTAGCAATGCAGCTTTAACACTTAATCTGTATGTATTTACAGTACTGCGGAATCTTTAATTGCTTTTATACAGCACACACACACACACACACACACACACACACACACACACAAAGAGAGAGAGAGAGAGAGAGAGAGAGAGAGAGAGAGAGAGAGAGTTCTTAATCTCTTATTAAATACACTGATTTCGAGCTACCTTGAAGGCATTTACGGTACATGCGGGCACCGTTTCTTCTGGTAAACGATATCAGCTAATGGCAGTGCCGACAAAAAAGTAGCATTGCTCTAACAAGTTAACATGTTTGCCCACAGTGTTGATCTGCCTATGCCAAGGTGTAGTCACAGAAACCGATACGAAACGTTCGTCAATCACGGGGGAGGTACATCATAGTTTCTCTTCCGGAGGAAGTGAACGCTATTAGTCTGTTTTATAATAAAGAAACCGCAGACAAGAGGCAGCTCGCATTCCCCTCTGTGGGTTGGCGCTTTGTGCGTGCTGGTAGAACACTTGGCATTTACCTTTGGCGTGATCAGATTTCGCAGAGGGAGCCTTTGTTTCCTGAAAGAAGATAGTTGTCTTTGGTATCGAACATCCGTAGAATCCTTTGCTTACCGATGATACCAGAAGTCAATTGCAAAGGGCAATAGAAATTATTTGTCTCGGTGACAGTCGCATTTATTTATTTATTTATTTATTTATTTATTTATTTATTTATTTATTCTGCCAAGGAGGCTATGTTTTGCCTGTGGTGGTTTATAAGTAACCAGCCTAACTCAAAAAATTATGGACGGGTTTTGACGACTTTTTTAGGATTGGTCAGAAATGGTTTCTTGGTGACGGTTCAATCAATTATTGATCAATGGCAATGGATCTGCGGAGGAATGCGCTCTCTGATTTCTTTCCTCGGTTACAGATATCATTATTATCGCGCAGTTGAATACGCCACTGATTGTGCTTAGAAACCCTCGGTCCCGGAAGAAACAGATTATGAAGTGAAAAGTGAAAAGAAGAATGGAAATTCATTTTCAGGTTTCGCTCTTTCTTTTCATGTGATAATTCCCGTTGCTTACGCAGACGTCAACAGCTGTTTCAAACCCACTTCATCCTGTATATACTTAGTACCAGCATGCGCTCGCCATTAGGTTTCAGAAACCTTTCACGCGCGCTGGTAATAGAGGACCGTTTTAAAAGACTCTAAAACTAATAGTTACCATTGCCGCACATGGCGTTCCTGAACCATACCATTTAACAACCGTAGCGCAGGTCGCGAACAATAAACCCCGATAGGAGGTCGCAGGTAAGATGTCCGTTTCGTACATAAGTAGTTCATATTGAGAATTTAGACATTTGAGGTAGGCCCAACCGATAAAAGATTTCACAGTAAACGTGATCTGATTTAAATACGTAGTGAGGATATGTTACGGTTTTACTTTTTCCTGCGTATATGCACATGCATTTATTTGTTGCCAGTCTAGAATGCAGCGGCGCGCGCGCGCATGTTTGTGCTCACGCGTTTTGTTGATGATCGTCATTCATTGCTGGGTATGGCATGTGACTCATTTCACGGACCAATTGGATTACCATTCCCTCTTTTTTGTTGAGATAAGCTTGATGAGGTTTGGGACTCGTAGTTCGATGGGTGGTCTATTATATTGTACGGACCCACGAAAAAGGTTGACATCGAGAAATGTCGTCCTAACTTGTATGCTAACGCACCTGCGTATGGTGACATCGGCGTTGTTTGCCTAGTTGAACTGACGGTTTTAATTGCAATAACAAAATGTTTACGTCAGTGGCGTGACAAAGCATGTTTGCAGTGCTTCTTGGTGCTCATTAGCAAACTCATTAAGAAGAATAAAGATTCTTAACTCAATATGTGCGCTTAACCGTGCTATATATTACTCCACTGTGATGTAATCGGTCGGGTATCGTGGCCGTTACATGGCACAAATTGACAAGCAAAAGGTGGTTGTCAAATTATATACCGTTGCTAATAGTAACTTGTTGGGTGTATGCGCGGTTTCAGAGAACAGTTGTCACCATTTTGATTAACTGTTTGAATGCTGCCACATATATTACTCGGTGGATTCGAAAAGAAGTTTCTTCTGATGTTGTAAATATGTTATCATTCTTATGCCTAGCAGTCATTAATAATATAGCTTGTGGTCCGTCATGTATATATGTTTATATGCTTATCTCTTTCGAAGGAAGACGAAATATGGATTCACCATTCCATGGTTTGCTATAATTTCAGTTAGCGACGCAACCGCCTTCATCACATTCGGAACCAAAGGATCCGCCTGTTGTTATTTTAGATGATCCCATACCTGACGAGTAAGTATTTTACAACTAAAATTAATCTTCTTACATTCCTCAGCCCCTTTGTCTCCAATTTTGATTAGATTTACCTTAAACGAAAGATACAGCAACCAAGTAACATGTTGCTTGCAAAAAATAGTTTTACACGACCATTTGATTAAAACGTATTGGTAAATGTTCTCATATGAAAACCATAATAAGTGACGACACCTAGAATACGCATGTGAAATAGAGCATTATGACTAGTAGCAATTAGGGATAAGCACGTTCGAGTGCAAATAGTCGAAAAACCAGTTTTTGTGCACGTGTCACAATGACATTCGTTTCACACGAATTATTGCTTTGACTAGACACTATTACCCCAATGCCAACAGCATAGTCGTTTGAATTATTGTGTGAAAATGGCAGTCGTGTTTATCTGTTTGCGTTCTCCGCTCTGTCAAGTCATTTATGTTTTAACATTATGTATTATCTTGGGTCGCATTTACAACCAGTTGCTTGCTGCATAATTCCGTAATAGACACTGAATAGATTGCCCACAGGGATTACGCGGCAAGCTTTCAAGTGGGTCGGCCATGTTTGATCCCTGGATCTATTAGTCCGTGGATCGTCTTTGGTTGTGAAAGCAGCTTTGGCTGAAAATAAATATCGAGTTTATGCTGCAATAATAATGTACATCATTAACACGTGGAAAGGATTAGTGCACGAGTAAGAAAAGTCGATCTTAATCGTCGTCGTCGGGATCAGCCATTCACTCCAACGAAACGTTATTACCGGTACTACTACTGCTCGAGTTCGGCGAAGCTTTCGGGGTGAGTTAGGCATACAGGCGACCAAAAACTGTTCACCACGGTTTCTTTAATGTGTAATTTAAACGTCTGTCTATAAACAACACTAGTGCTCACAATTTAAACTCAGAAAAAAAACAGGATTTGGGAGGCCATTTGTCACTTCCACTACAAACAAGCGTGACAGGCAACCCAGGTTAAAATGTGTCCTGTGTCATAGATCACGTGATTTCGCAAATGTGTTATTGCATCCGGAAAGGTGTATAGAGTGATCTTGAGTACAGGCGAGTGTGTATAGAAGGGGCGCGGAAAACACAAATGAGACGACTGTACAGGTAAGCGATACGAAGCAGACTGTATTCTCGGCGACAGACAACATTGCCTGCAAGTACTGGAAGCTCAGAGTTCATTTTGTTAAAGCACGTACATAGAAGTATACTTAGTAGGAGGCATTTCTTTATTTTCAATATTTGCACTTTCAATTTGGATCGTAGCGACGAAGCATAATGAATATGACGCCGTATATAGTGTGGCCGTTTTGCTTTAAACGTTTTTCGATAATTGCTTTTGAAACGGAGACATTTTATTTCGTCACGAATTGTGTGGGATAGATTAGATCGAATGTCCTCTCACTCACCCTCGTTAACTTAACCCATGTAGAGATTTCAATGTTGAGCACTATTTTACGATTCGTTATTGACGCTGGGAATATACGGGTCTCGTGAACGGAAATGGCTGACTTGATTGCCTGACAAGAATTTTTTTACACAAGGTCATGACAAAAGCCAATTTAAGTATGTGAAACACATTTCATGTTTTGGGCCATTCGTTCATACAGTACTTTTATAGCAAAAGTCGACTTGTCATAGTCAGCTGTCCAATTTTATCTGTTGAACTTAATCCCCAAAACGTTTGACTCTTTGTGAAACTGCGACCCCCCCCCCCCCCAGATCGTGTGTCCATTTGTCGGGGTAGTCGAATGATATCAACATCCATAAAAACGGTCTTTTGCGGCACATCGCATTCTAGATATGAACGTACGTAATGTCGGGGCATGTTTTTCATTGAGTGCGACAACACTCATGGCTTCAATCGATAGCTTAAGCACTCTCGTTTGTCTGCTTGCTGTTCTCGTTAAATACAATGCTCAATTGCAATATTATAGAAACGGTGTGGATTGTTTGCGCCAGAGTGACAGTAGTAAAAACATATACTGGGGCACTTTCCAAAGAATGTTATTTCCGCAGCCGGGGGTTATCGTTTAGGTGCTTAATTTATGTAAAAACTGATTGCCTTCCTGAACAAGTCGACAGCCTGACATCAGACAACATACCAAAGCATATTCAAAATGCGAACAGGCTAATTAACAAAAGAATTACATTTGCAAACAATGGGAACCTGTCTTAAATTACACCCAGAATTGGTAGTCACATACAGTTAGGTATGTCTTAATGATCCGTGTATCTAGACTAGGTCTCTGGTTCTATCGTATTTTCCACATGTTTGAAATCACTTTTAGCTCCATTGAGAGAAGGAAGGGGCGGTAGAAGATACCGGTTTGGTAAAAATGGTTTTTGCGGTTTGGTACTTTGCTACTTGAGTATCGCAGATGCGTCGAAAATGTCTCTCCTAATCTATCTTGGATACCGTGTGCTCTAACAGCGTGGGCAAATATATCTATTAATTCTTCCAAATTAAAAGGGGACTGTTGGCCTCTGTATTTTGCTGTATTACCGCAGTATTGTTATGTCACAGTTTTTGTCCTTGTACACATTACATGCAATAACAGTGACCCCTGTATGTAGGACAGTATTGCTGAATTATCGCACTACTTTTTCGTCACAGTTGATGCCCGTGAGCACATTGCAATGGCAGTGGTCCATGTACGTAGAACAGGTTTGCTGTATCTCCCCAGTATACGTCACAGTTGTTGGCCGTGTTCGCATTACATGCAATTTATTTATGATTGCAGCATTTTATGTTAGATCAATTTATCTTGTCCTAAGGAGATGACATGGCTGTATCATGATGGATTTTGCATTGAGCGCGTATTGCTTTTTTACTATTGATTTTTTTTAGCCAATACATCGACTGCTGCTATATATATATATATATATATATATATATATATATATATATATTATCGCCAGAACAACTTCCCGAGTTTCTCAATTGGGCAACAGTGTTATGTAGTCGAAAGAAGGATAAAAAAGGCTCAAGGTATGCTTATTGGTGGTCATGATTGTATTTTTCAGATAAAGCACTTATCACCAAAATGAAACAATGGTCACAGTCAGACAATATAGATATTTAATACAATGGAAAAATAACGTGCGTGTCAGCTGTATTGCTTTACCGCTTGCTTTTAAAAGTTTGGCTCGCGACATTTTCTCTTTGTAGCTGTGTAAAGTGACTATGGGAGTAGCTCGTGCGCGTGGCCTACGTAAAAATCCGTCGAAAAATCTAATTTGGATGCTGTGTGCCGGTGTGACAGGAATGGTAGTCCTAGGAGTGGAAGTCAGGGGTCCCATATGATTAGTACAGGTTAGCGTCAGTCGGAAGTATTGGGTTAAACATATGTAGGAGGAATATCGCCTGTACAAAGAAACGGGGATCTGACTACTATACGGTTCCTAGCGGACTACCATTCCTGTCACACTGGCACTGTCGAGGTCCGGGTTGAATGCGACAGAGAAAATTGGACGCTGGTTTTAATTTTGTACTGAGACCTATTTCCTNACAAAAAAAATTATGGTCGGGTTTTGACGACTTTTTTAGGATTGGTCAGAAATGGTTTCTTGGTGACGGTTCAATCAATTATTGATCAATGGCAATGGATCTGCGGAGGAATGCGCTCTCTGATTTCTTTCCTCGGTTACAGATATCATTATTATCGCGCAGTTGAATACGCCACTGATTGTGCTTAGAAACCCTCGGTCCCGGAAGAAACAGATTATGAAGTGAAAAGTGAAAAGAAGAATGGAAACTCATTTTCAGGTTTCGCTCTTTCTTTTCATGTGATAATTCCCGTTGCTTACGCAGACGTCAACAGCTGTTTCAAACCCACTTCATCCTGTATATACTTAGTACCAGCATGCGCTCGCCATTAGGTTTCAGAAACCTTTCACGCGCGCTGGTAATAGAGGACCGTTTTAAAAGACTCTAAAACTAATAGTTACCATTGCCGCACATGGCGTTCCTGAACCATACCATTTAACAACCGTAGCGCAGGTCGCGAACAATAAACCCCGATAGGAGGTCGCAGGTAAGATGTCCGTTTCGCACATAAGTAGTTCATATTGAGAATTTAGACATTTGAGGTACCGATAAAAGATTTCACAGTAAACGTGATATGATTTAAATACGTAGTGAGGATATGTTACGGTTTTACTTTTTCCTGCGTATATGCACATGTATTTATTTGTTGCCAGTCTAGAATGCAGAGGCGCGCGCGCATGTTTGTGTCCACGCGTTTTGTTGATGATCGTCATCCCATTGCTGGGTATAGCATGTGACTCATTTCACGGACCAATTGGATTACCATTCTCTCTTTTTTGTTGAGATAAGCTTGATGAGGTTTGGGACTCGTAGTTCGATGGGTGGTCCATTATATTGAACGGACCCACGAAAAAGGTTGACAACGAGAAATGTCGTCCTAACTTGTATGCTAACGCACCTGCGTATGGTGACATCGGCGTTGTTTGCCTAGTTGAACTGACGGTGTTAATTGCAATAACAAAATGTTTACGTCAGTGGCGTGACAAAGCATGTTTGCAGTGCTTCTTGGTGCTCATTAGCAAACTCATTAAGAAGAATAAAGATTCTTAACTCAATATGTGCGCTTAACCGTGCTATATATTACTCCACTGTGATGTAATCGGTCGGGTATCGTGGCCGGAAAAACCTTACCTGGCACAAATCGACAAGCAAAAGGTGGTTGTCAAATTATATACTGTTGCTAATAGTAACTTGTTGGGTGTATGCGCGGTTTCAGAGAACAGTTGTCACCATTTTGATTAACTGTTTGAATGCTGCCACATATATTCAGGCCTTCCCAACTACCAGACTCGGCACCTACGGGTCCAGAATAAACCGGTATATCTGACCACACTACCCGTTTTCAAGGTGTGTGTCAGATCGCATAAAAGAGTATCATACCCTATCACAAATTCTGTAAGCCTACCTGTCATCCGGGTATCACGCCTCGTTTTCGTCAAGTAGGAGTCGTATGAATAGAACAGACGACTCCCTCAATCAGGGGGTGGAAACGCGCTACTTATATGATTAAGACGAGCCTAGCCGTCAGTACCGGTTATTGTTTTGTGACCTTGAGGAGCAATGAGGTTTGGTNTAAGTTTGCAAGTTCTTATTTACAAAACATCATTGGCTATGTCCGAACCTAAATTTTATGTTAAAAATTGCGGTACTGTCAGATTTTAGCATAAACAGAGAAAATTGCAGCAGCGCATGAATCTAGATGAGATGCACTACTTTCCAACCCCGATTAGGATCATTGCTATCACATCGCGCACCAGGCAAAATCGGTGTGGTGGCTGATACTCTGTAATGCGATCTGACACACACCTTGAAAACGGGTAGTGTGGTCTGATAAACCGGTTTATACTGGACCCGTAGGTGCCGAGTCTGGTAGTTGGGAAGGCCTGATATTACTCGGTGGATTCGAAAAGAAGTTTCTTCTGATGTTGTAAATATGTTATCATTCTTATGCCTAGCAGTCATTAATAATATAGCTTGTGGTTCGTCGTGTATATATGTTTATATGCTTATCTCTTTCGAAGGAAGACGAAATATGGATTCACCATTCCATGGTTTGCTATAATTTCAGTTAGCGACGCAACCGCCTTCATCACATTCGGAACCAAAGGATCCGCCTGTTGTTATTTTAGATGATCCCATACCTGACGAGTAAGTATTTTACAACTAAAATTAATCTTCTTACATTCCTCAGCCCCTTTGTCTCCAATTTTGATTAGATTTACCTTAAACGAAAGATACAGCAACCAAGTAACATGTTGCTTGCAAAAAATAGTTTTACACGACCATTTGATTAAAACGTATTGGTAAATGTTCTCATATGAAAACCATAATAAGTGACGACACCTAGAATACGCATGTGAAATAGAGCATTATGACCAGTAGCAATTAGGGATAAGCACGTTCGAGTGCAAGTAGTCGAAAAACCAGTTTTTGTGCACGTGTCACAATAACATTCGTTTCACACGACTTATTGCTTTGACTAGACACTATTACCCCAATGCCAACAGCATAGTCGTTTGAATTATTGTGTGAAAATGGCAGTCGTGTTTATCTGTTTGGGTTCTCCGCTCTGTCAAGTCATTTATGTTTTAACATTATGTATTATCTTGGGTCGCATTTACAACCAGTTGCTTGCTGCATAATTCCGTAATAGACACTGAATAGATTGCCCACAGGGATTACGCGGCAAGCTTTCAAGTGGGTCGGCCATGTTTGATCCCTGGATCTATTAGTCCGTGGATCATCTTTGGTTGTGAAAGCAGCTTTGGCTGAAAATAAATATCGAGTTTATGCTGCAATAATAATGTACATCATTAACACGTGGAAAGGATTAGTGCACGAGTAAGAAAAGTCGATCTTAATCGTCGTCGTCGGGATCAGCCATTCACTCCAACGAAACGTTATTACCGGTACTACTACTGCTCGAGTTCGGCGAAGCTTTCGGGGTGAGTTAGGCATACAGGCGACCAAAAACTGTTCACCACGGTTTCTTTAATGTGTAATTTAAACGTCTGTCTATAAACAACACTAGTGCTCACAATTTAAACTCAGAAAAAAACCCAGGATTTGGGAGGCCATTTGTCACTTCCACTACAAACAAGCGTGACAGGCAACCCAGGTTAAAATGTGTCCTGTGTCATAGATCACGTGATTTCGCAAATGTGTTATTGCATCCGGAAAGGTGTATAGAGTGATCTTGAATACAGGCGAGTGTGTATAGAAGGGGCGCGGAAAACACAAATGAGACGACTGTACAGGTAAGCGATACGAAGCAGACTGTATTCTCGGCGACAGACAAGATTGCCTGCAAGTACTGGAAGCTCAGAGTTCATTTTGTTAAAGCACGTACATAGAAGTATACTTAGTAGGAGGCATTTCTTTATTTTCAATAGTTGTACTTTCAATTTGGATCGTAGCGACGAAGCATAATGAATATGACGCCGTATATAGTGTGGCCGTTTTGCTTTAAACGTTTTTCGATAATTGCTTTCGAAACGGCTTTTGAAACGGAGACATTTTGTTTCGTCACGAATTGTGTGGGATAGATTAGATCGAAGGTCCTCTCATTCACCCTCGTTAACTTAACCCATGTAGAGATTTCAATGTTGAGCACTATTTTACGATTCGTTATTGACGCTGGGAGATATACGGGTCTCGTGAACGGAAATGGTTGGCTTGATTGCCTGACAAGAATTTTTTTACACAAGGTCATGACAAAAGCCAATTTAAGTATGTGAAACACATTTCATGTTATGGGCCATTCGTTCATACAGTACTTTTATAGCAAAAGTCGACTTGTCATAGTCAGCTGTCCAATTTTATCTGTTGAACTTAATCCCCAAAACGTTTGACTCTTTGTGAAACTGCGCCCCCCCCCCCCCCCAGATCGTGTGTCCATTTGTCGGGGTAGTCGAATGATATCAACATCCATAAAAACGGTCTTTTGCGGCACATCGCATTCTAGATATGAACGTACGTAATGTCGGGGCATGTTTTTCATTGAGTGCGACAACACTCATGGCTTCAATCGATAGCTTAAGCACTCTCGTTTGTCTGCTTGCTGTTCTCGTTAAATACAATGCTCAATTGCAATATTATAGAAACGGTGTGGATTGTTTGCGCCAGAGTGACAGTAGTAAAAACATATACTGGGGCACTTTCCAAAGAATGTTATTTCCGCAGCCGGGGGTTATCGTTTAGGTGCTTAATTTATGTAAAAACTGATTGCCTTCCTGAACAAGTCGACAGCCTGACCTCAGACAACATACCAAAGCATATTCAAAATGCGAACAGGCTAATTAACAAAAGAATGACATTTGCAAACAATGGGAACCTGTCTTAAATTACACCCAGAATTGGTAGTCACATACAGTTAGGTATGTCTTAATGATCCGTGTATCTAGACTAGGTCTCTTGTTATATCGTATTTTCCACATGTTTGAAATCATTTTTAGCTCCATTGAGAGAAGGAAGGGGCGGTAGAAGATACCGGTTTGGTAAAAATGGTTTTTGCGGTTTGGTACTTTGCTACTTGAGTATCGCAGATGCGTCGAAAATGTCTCTCCTAATCTATCTTGGATACCGTGTGCTCTAACAGCGTGGGCAAATATATCTATTATTTACTTTCAAGTAAAAGGGAACTGTTGGCCCCTGTATGTAGGACAATTTTGCTGTATTGCCGCAGTATTGTTATGTCACAGTTTTTGTCCTTGTATACATTACATGCAATAACAGTGACCCCTGTATGTAGGACAGTATTGCTGAATTATCGCACTACTTTTTCGTCACAGTTGATGCCCGTGAGCACATTGCAATGGCAGTGGTCCATGTACGTAGAACAGGTTTGCTGTATCTCCCCAGTATACGTCACAGTTGTTGGCCGTGTTCGCATTACATGCAATTTATTTATGATTGCAGCATTTTATGTCAGATCAATTTATCTTGTCCTAAGGAGATGACATGGCTGTATCGTGATGGATTTTGCATTGAGCGCGTATTGCTTTTTTACTATTGATTTTTTTTAGCCAATACATCGACTGCTGCTATATATATATATATATATATTATCACGAGAACAAATTCTCGAGTTTCTCAATTGGGCAACAGTGTTATGTAGTCGAAAGAAGGATAAAAAAGGCTCAAGGTATGCTTATTGGTGGTCATGATTGTATTTTTCAGATAAAGCACGTATCACCAAAATGAAACAGTGGTCACAGTCAGACAATATAGATATTTAATACAATGGAAAAATAACGTGCGTGTCAGCTGTATTGCTTTACCGCTTGCTTTTAAAAGTTTGGCTCACGACATTTTCTCTTTGTAGCTGTGTAAAGTGACTATGGGAGTAGCTCGTGCGCGTGGCCTACGTAAAAATCCGTCGAAAAATCTAATTTGGATGCTGTGTGCCGGTGTGACAGGAATGGTAGTCCTAGGAGTGGAAGTCAGGGGTCCCATATGATTAGTACAGGTTAGCGTCAGTCGGAAGTATTGGGTTAAACATATGTAGGAGGAATATCGCCTGTACAAAGAAACGGGGATCTGACTACTATACGGTTCCTAGCGGACTACCATTCCTGTCACACTGGCACTGTCGAGGTCCGGGTTGAATGCGACAGAGAAAATTGGACGCTGGTTTTAATTTTGTACTGAGACCTATTTCTTGACGTTAGCAAGTGTACAGTAAATTAATTGCACACACATGCTGAAAATATTGACAAATATGTTAAAAAGTGTATATGTTGAAGTATGGTTGCAATAATGTCACGTGTAGGCTGGGAGCGTGCTTTGCGCCTTTTTCATTTCATAATCGAAGAGGTTATATCAGCTAAACACGAAACGTTTGCGCGCCATGCACATTGATTTAATTACACATTCGCTCAGAAGCCATGACGAATTATATATTAAGTTTATATTGAAAACTTTATCGCCCAAACCAGACGATGTCTCCCATGCGGGTATGTACAGAATACCGCTCCATTTATTTATCAATATTGCTCGACTGTCACCTCCACTGACACGAAAAACGAATCTTAAATCCACTTACCCGCCATAAATATTTAATGCCGGTAGACGGCAGGCGGGCATGTGGGGAATATAATGGATAGACTATTCCAAATTGAAAATGCTAACCGCCTGAGAGGGTTGCCGTCTTGTTCCCAGTCAGTTAAGAAGTTCTAGCTCGTTGCAGGCTATCTCGTTGTCTTTTCCACACAAATTCCGTTATCGTATTGTAATGAATGTCCTGCTTACAAGACAACTGGCGTGTGAGTTTTTTGACGAAGCTAATCAATGAAGTCAACATCCTTCGTAAACGGAGACATTAACACATTAACACGCCTCAAAGTATAGAATAATTTTTGAGGTAAAGCTATTTTGTGAATCAGACTTCAGAGGTTTTGGTTGAGTAGGTTGCGCAGATTTGTTTTTTCAGTATACCACCTTTCACAAGTTATATATATATATATATACTGAAAAAACAAATCTGCGCAATATATATATATATATATATATATATATATATATATATATATATATATATATATATATATATATATATAGTTTCCACTTAAGACGACTTTAACCTTTTCGATTATTTATATATTTATTTATTTTTAGCTATTTTGTTAGGGGAGGGAATATAATTTATGGATTGCACGATCATAAATGTGCAATCCTTCCAAATGTGTAATGACGTAATCCGACAAGATGTCCTGCTGGGGATAATGGAACCCTTAGTGTGGTGCGCTTACTTTGTACCCCCCCCCCCAAAAAAAAAAATAAATAATAAAAATAATAAATAAATATATATATATATCAAGAACAGGCATGAGCTTTTTCGGCGGAAACACGGGATTCAGCGTTTTTTAATTCAATTCTAAGGCGGCCCGGACCTCCGGCCGGTTAGGTGTTGGGTCCCATGATAAATGTTCAGAGTTTTTTTTTAAACCTAGGCTCATGTCTGAAGAAGCAAATTAAAATTTAAAAAATGAAGTAATGACAGGAGAAGTCGTCAACCAAGATATAAAGAACAGTTTCATAATTAAGTTAAACCGATTATAATAATATTGTTGTTAATGATGACAATCATTCAATAAGAGAAAACATTGTCGACATAGGAAGCAGTAAAAGAGTATGACTGGGATCCCATG